ACTTCGCTTGACTGTGTACTTTAGCCGTGGAAGAGCAGGTCCTGTAAGCATTCTCACTCGAACAAGCCCGCTCCCAGGAACCGGGTGCGGCTACAGACATGGGCGGCTGACATGTCAGGTCCTCTTCTCTGTCCCCAAGCATTATGACATCAACTGGGCGATTTGTGGTATGCCCGCAATGCCATTGCTCGCAGCGCAGCTCTCGAAGGCGTGGAGTACATAAACTGTACAGCGCCGTGGCGGCGGTGGCGGTGTGGCGGGAACTGGTCGAGGCTATTGCGCCCACGCATTCCAAAGCTCTTCACAACTGCAGCCCTCCGTTGTGATTTTTTTATAACACATTTCATAATGCAGCAAGGCGCGCTGGTGAGAGGCAGCCCCTTAATTAAGTTGGAGGCTAAATTGCTCGCTCGCCGGAATGCGCCGGCTCCGAGCGCAGAGTGCGGGGTGGCAACCGCTCTCCTCCTTGGTCTCCTTCTGCTCCCTATCCCCCAGATTGGTCCTGGGCTACCCTGAAGCAAGAGAGAGGCCAGACCACTGGCACAGGCACTGCCGGAAGCACTGCCAGTGGAGGTGACTCACGGTCGGACCGCCCACCACTGCAGCCCTCTAGATTGATGGCCGCCCCCCTCCTCCAAGACCTTCTCAACAGTTATTTTAGGTCGCATCGCATTGGATGCCTTGAAAACGCCCATGCAAACGCCTGCCAAGCTCCCCATCGGAGCGCCCAGTGCCTCTTGTTCGAAACCCCACCGAACAAGTTGGTGTTAAGAGAATGCTCTTTTTGCGGCCGATCGGGGTTGCTTGGGAAGATTCCAGGGGCGTGCCTCGCCTGCAAACAACGCAATTGCCGGGCCTTTGGACCCTCGTAAGGCGCCAGCCGGGAGGAGGTTGGACGCCTCACGTCGCTCGGTTGGTCGCAGCGCCGATAGCAGGAGCTTCATTGGAGCCCTAGGAGACATGGACCACGGGCAGCCACCAGGGCCAGGTTCTGGAGCTGCTGCGCCGCACGGTGTGCCCGCCGCCCCGCCCCGGCGCTAAAGGAGCTGGACCGCACGTTTAATTGGGTGTGCTGTTGCTGTCATTGACCCCGGAACTATAATGTGCTGACTGCAATGCAGGCGGCAAGCGAGGGGCGGCCAGCAGGGTCCGACGGCTGGCAAGCATGGTGGAAGCAGCGTCCTCCGCCCCCGTTCGCCGGCAGCCTCCACAGCAGCAGCCAGCTGCAGCGCAACAGGAAGAAGGGGACGGTGCCCTGCAGCAGGTTGGAGGAAGAGAAGAAGAGGGGGGAGCGCCTCTGCAAGAAGAAGCTGATGGGTCGCCCGCTTTCCTTGGCTCCCATCCACCGGACCCCGTCCTGCGCTTCACTTTGTTTCGGGAGGGGCTGCTCACTGCTCATTGCTCATTGCTCATCGCACACTGCTCAACGCTCATTGCCCTATATCCCACCCAGCCGCAGGACTCCACTGCCGCCCGCGCCCCGCCCCATCTGGCCGCTTGCGCGCCCCATCCCCCCTCGATGGGGCCCGCCCACACCGGGGCCTCCCCCCTCCCGCCCACTGCTTTCTCAACGGCCCCGAGCCGGGGCTGCCCTCATTGCATACATAGTGCGCCTTTCCCTGCTTTTCTAGTGACCTAGCGTTCCGCACTGCCATTTGGCCAGCCCATGCTCCCGTACCGTTGCGTTTCTCCCCAATGCGCCATGCCACTTTGCCAGTCATACACACGTTTCGATGCGTGCCCTGTCAGCTGCTTGCGTTGCATGTCGCCTTGCTCCACCCTTGTTTTATTGCTTTCTCTGCTTTCGCCCGGTTCCCGTCCCGTTTCGGCGGGGAGTCTATGTTGCAAGTTAGTTCTTGCTTTACCAGACTTTAAGCCCACACAAGCAAGCAAGCAGCGGGAGGGACAACATCAGTCGCCGCAGCCACCCCAGCAGCAGCAACAGCAGCAGCCACCTCAACAGCCACCCCAGCAGCAGCAGCAGCAGCAGCAGCGGGAAGGCGCGCCAAGCTTGCGCACCCTACCACCTGGGCACCAGGCTGTGCAGGACGCGGTGCTTATGCCGCAGGCAACCGTGGCTCCCAACGTGCGCTGCGGCTTCTTCCCTCTCCCGCCTCGCCATCCCATCACTCCTGAGGCATGCCAGGCCAGCACCAAGCAGCTGCAGCCCACGACTGGGCAGACGTGGCAGTGGGTTCAGGGCCATCCAGTGCCAATGCTTGCCGCAGCCACGGGAGCAGCAACAGCAGCGCCGCCTGCGGCTGCAGCGCCCCAAGATCTAACTGCCCCCCAGCAACCGCGCACCGTATGCGCACTCTGTGGCTCTGATCGCCTTGCAGCAACCTCGCACCAGCATGCTACTGCTGCAGAAGAGTTGATGTGCGATGCGTGGCAGTCGCGCGCGGATTCACCTGCCAAGAAGCGGCAGCGCCGCCCGCAGAGCAGCTCAGAGCCCGGTTCCGAGTAGGCCGCTCGTGTTCATGCCCATCTTTTTCTACCTATCTGTATCATTCACCTGTTTGCACTGCCGTTCTCCCATTCTTTTCGTATTTGTTTTGGCCTGCTTTTGGTACGAGGCCCATTCCATGTGAAGGATGATTTGTAGCAGGATCAGCGTATGAGACAACCCTGGGATTGGTCGGGCTGTGGCCAGCCAGGCTGAGGCAGCAGCGGCAGAAGAAGAAGTGGGGTGCCATTCCAGCTGTTCCTGCCGCTCGCTGTGCTAGCTCTGCTGGCTGCCGTGCCGCCTGCCGCTTCCACTTCATGTCTAGTCAGACACTGCGACAGAGTAGCTGCAGCGCTGCAGTGCCCTGCTGGCCACCAATGCGCATACTCGTTCCTGTTTGGTCAGCGTGAGCCCACCGCCGTCCTCTGCCGTCCTCTGCCGCCGCCTGCCGACATCGATGGCAGGACCCTGCTGCCGCTCGTGCCATCCCAACCCACCGCGCGCACTCTTCCGTGTCGAAAGGCCAAAGTTGGACACAAGCGTGACACACGCGCGCGCGCTGGGCGGAGGGGGAAGTAAGGTGGAAGGAACCAGCGCGTGTGCTTGCATTATCTCGCGGCGCTCCTGCGATCTCTATCTCCCGCTATTACTTGTTTCGCCCACCCTCCTCCGCAATGTCCTGCGTTCGCGCACTCCTCCTGCTGGCCGCCGCCATGGCGCTGACCGCCGCCGCGGATGCTCGCTCGGTGAGCATCGATGCACACAAACTTTCTGCTGAAGGTTGCATGCATGGGTTTTAGGCTCAGCCTGTAGCTTGTGGGCGACACATAGCTCTGATTCATCGTTTGGGGCCCGCCATTGCGGGGCTAATAGCGAGTGTGAGGCGCTGGGGTGGCGGCGCGCGCTCCACACAAGCGCGCGCGTGTGTGATCAGGAGAGCTCTCTTGCCTCCTACTTGCTGCACCCCCACCGACCGTTTCCGCCTGCTGCAGGTCTTCTTCCACCAGCGCATGCTGAGGCAGGCGACCGGTGCCATCAACGGGCCGCTCGCCAGCAGCATCAACGATGCCTCCAGCCTGTACAACATCTCTGGAGTGTGGGTGGGCATTGGCGACCAGTATGATGCAGGTGCACTGGTGCTGCAGCCTTGCACACACTTTGGGTGTATTGCTGCACCCAGCCATTGCATCGGAATGAATGTGCTGCAAGGGCAGCCCCCAGGTTGACGCCCCCACATTTGCTGATGCCTTGCCTGCTCATTTCTGCTCCAATCCTGAACTGCTGCATCCACGCAGCCGTATGGGCGGCCTACTTCGAGGAGGGCACGCTGCCTGCATGCGGCGACGCCGGCAACTTCACCTACAAGCACTGGGATGAGACGCTGCCGGACAGCATCGCGCTGGCAGCCAACAACACTGGCCCCGCTGGATTTGGGATAAACGGGCACGAGACTGGTACATACATCCTGAGCGAGGTGCGGTAAACCCCTTCCATCCCTGAAAAATAATGATTTTTTTTAAAGAAATATTGTTTTTTGCCCCTCCTGCTCCCTCCCAGCTGACCTACGATGGCCAGTACCTGACCTACAAGCCCGACTGGGCGCCCACCGAGGTGTCGTGTGCGCGCTTCGTGCCGTACATCGATCACCGCAATGGCTATGTGTATGCCAGGTGGGCTGCGTTGCGTCAGCGCCTTGGCGGGTGGGCTGCGGCGCGGAGGTGGCGGCAGGAGCGCTCGAGCCACCCCGCACCCACCTGCTCGTGCCCACCCCACCCCAGCCTCTGACCCTCAGCCCTCACTCGGTCTTGGTGATCCCACACCTGCAGCATGATCACCAAGACCGAGTGGAAGAAGTCTGGAGATGAGGTGGAGTTCACAGACCTGTCGTGCACCGTGAAGGACACCGAGGTGGCGGGCTGCTACCCGCAGAAGCCAGGCGTCGTGCACAGGTGCGAGGAGGTGGGCGGCGACGACTGTGGGGTGGCCATGGCGGCTGCGCTCGCTGCTGGCTCTTTGGGGCACTGCCCTCCATCCCTCACACCCTCCCCCTCTGCCACCCCCGCCTGCCCCTGCACAGCGTCTCGGTGACCTCCTACCGCTGCGCTGCTGGCGTGTGCGCCGGATACGCGCCTGCGGCCGTGGAGAAAGGGGACGAGTGATCAGATCTGCTCACCTCGCTCGCGATGCCCCTCCCCCTGCCCTTCCTTTTTCCTGAGCCCACTCAATGTTCTGCACAGACACACCCCAACCCCCCCGACTCACTCGAGTGCGGGCACGCCCCCCTCCCCCCATATTCTCCGAGTCCCCATCCAACCAGCTTTGTTTCCCAGATTCTCAATTGCTGTCGTGAGAGGTCAGATGTAAGCCCACCCAAGCAATCCCAAGTAGCAGTGTGTGATATTGGGTGGGAGAGCGGCGAACAGTACCGCCTCTGGCGCCACGTCATCACCGCCATGTGGAGCGGGGACAAGGCAGCCGTCCAGCCGCAAAACTCTTGCATTCTCGACGACTGACTGGTGGGCTTTCAATTCGCCGGAGTACAGCCGGGCAAGGGATGGAGAAGCGGTGGCACGCTCTGCCTGGTGCAGGGTTGCAGCTGGAGGTGCTGTTTTATGCAGCGGCAAGTGGGAACGAAGGTGCACCAGGAGCCCCGACGGCGAGTCGCAAGGAGCCGCCACCACCGCCACTTGTTTTCCTCCACGGCGCCTTCCACGGCGCTTGGTGCTGGGAGCGCTTCCTCACCTTCTTCTCAGCTGCTGGCTACGACAACTACGCGCTCAGCCTGCGCGGCCACGGCAACAGTGCGCCCGGCACCATGCAGCCCGGTAGCCCGAAAGGCACGCTGGCCTCCCATGCCGCCGACCTGGCCATATCGCCACACTGCCGCGGCCGCCGGTGCTGGTGGCACACAGCTTAGGGGGCCTCATCGCCACCAAGTATGTGGCCAGCCAGGCTGAGGCAGCAGCGGCAGGGGAGGAAGGCCGCGCGCCAGGCCAGCGCTTCCCGCCGCTCGCTGGGCTGGCTCTGCTGGCTGCCAAGCCGCCCGGTGGCGATGCCGCCATTGTAAGAAGAGCGCTGTGGCGTTCGCCCTGGACTGTTGCCAAGATAGTATGGTGAGCTGCCTTGGCACCCGTCCCCTTCTACCCTTGCACCTGCAGCCCTCCGCCTCACCGTCTGACGACTCGCTTGCTGGCATCCCTGCCACTGCCGCAGGGCCTTGATCTTTGGCGTGCACCGCACCAGCCCCGCTGCCTGCCGCTTCCTCTTCTTCGCGGCAGACATGCCGGCAGAGGAGCTACAGCGCTACTGTGCCCTGCTGGCCGCCTACCCCCCGCATACTCTCATCGACCGGAGCTCTGCGGCGGGCGCAGCGGCTCCCGACAACCTGGTGCCGCAAGCGCCGCCCGAGGGGGGCTGGCGCCAGCTGCCCCCACAGCGCGTGTTTGTGGGGTGCGGCAAAGCGGATGTGCTGGTGGACGCAGAGGCGGCGCAGGAGACGGCGGCCTACTTTGGCACGCAGGCAGCGCTGTGGGAGGGTGTGCCACACGACTGCATGCTGAGCCGCTGGCAGGAGCCTGCTGCCAGCCTGCGGCATTGGCTGGACACGCTGTCAGCTGCACCACTGGTGCCGCCACGGCCGGGCGAGTGAAGAGGGCAACAGGGCGGAAAGCTACCTCGCTCAGCTGCTTGGATCTATTTCGTGTTTCAATGTCAACTCCGCCTGTGTGCCTTGCGCACGCCGTCCAGCATGTTACCACTCAAAGCCACATGGGCGCACTGATCCAGCAGGCTGGCAGGCCAGCCCCCAGGCCGCCCCAGCCGCCGCCTGCTCGGTTCAGTGGGCCGCCTACGTGCAGCAGCCTCATCCCCCAGCCCCTAACCCGGTGCCAGTCAGGTCCAGCGAATTGATGTCTAGCGCATCATAGGTGCTCTTGCCCAGCACCTTTTCACCCGCTGCAGGGGCACGCCCGTCAGGCACGCGTCTGTGAGAGTTGGGCACACAACTGGCAGGCGCACTGTGCTGCGCGTGAGGCCATTCTGCTTGGAGATTATTATCAGGTGGCTGCTGTTGCGGCTGCAGCTGCACCCACCGATCAGGTACATGAGCGTCCAGGGCAGCAGGATGCAGGTGTAGACGGCAAAGCCGAGCGCCGAGCGCCGCGTGTCTGCGGCGAGTTGGAAGGTGGGATGCGCGGTGGGAGGTGAGTGGTCATCTGGGCGTGGCGGCGAGCAGAAGCAGCCCTCGACATCCCGCTCCCTTATGCATGAACATTGTTCCCAGAGGAGAGCAACTCAACCCTGTACACCCACTCACACTTGGCAATCACTAGGTCGCGGTCACCGTGCCAAAAGTCTGGCGCAAAGAGCCAGACGTTGCAGGCCCAGAACCACGGCAGGCAGGCAAAGCCAAGGTAGAAGTAGAGCTTGCAGATCTTGCGGGCACGCAGGGCAGGCAGCACGTCTTCATCGCACGTCACCACCGGCGGCAGCGTCAGAAGGTCGCCGCCGTCCATTGCCGCAGGTGGCGCCAAGGTGGGGCCGGCGGGGGCGACGGTGCAGGCGCCCGCTGCTCAGGCTCAGCACTGCGCTGCCTGCTGCTGCATCTTCCAAGTGTTTTGGCCTTGTGGGGACGCGGTAGAGGAGCAGTTGGCTTTTCCCGCTCTCTGCACGCACGTTGCTGCCCTCGATCAGCAGCACATCTCCACAGGACAATGCATGTGATCAGGGGGAGCGCGACGTGGGCCCATGGGGTTCCGGCTGCCTGGCCTTCTTCCTGCGAGTTCAGACCGTGACCGACAGCTTTTGCTTCTTGCGCTTCGGGGCCAGCCGCACGTGAACACTCCAATTTACGGACCGCCGGCTGCACCACGCTAAGGCCCAACCGCGGCGTGTCCTTAAACCCGGCTCCAGATAGCAGATGGCACAGGACAGGTGAGAGAGGGCGCACGCCGCCAGCGTTGCGCGGCCTGGTGTGCAGTGCCCCTGCCGCCGCCGGCCATTACTGTCGCCCAACCTCCGCTGCCGCTCCGTCCTGGACCGAGCGGCTGTCCTGCTAGCGTCACGGCTGCTGCTGGATGCTGGCCTCCTTGCAGCGAGCCACACTTGAGTCCTAGCTTGTCCCCCCTGCACACAACCTCGCCCACGCAGGCCCAGCCCCTACGAGGCCACCCACCTGCCGCAGCGCAAGCGGGAGGTGTCAGACAAGCCAGGCACGCACCAGTGGAGCAGCGAGGATTACGAGGCCAGCGCGCAGGCAAGGAACGCGACGCGGCTGCAGCAGGCGTGGTCGGGCCGCCCGTTTGCCACGGATGACGACGACAGCAGCCGCGCCAGCAGCAGGCCGGGATCGGTGGCCGGCTCTGATGGCGGCAGCAGCCACCACCTGCACCACCAAGGTCACGTCGCGCCGGCGGGCAAGGTGAGGTTGGGAGCAGGCGCTGGGCGCACCAGTAGGAGCCAGCCCCCTAGCCCTCCTCCTGTCGATTTGCAAAGCTGGGCGGTGGCCGCCAGTCTCCCTGCTGCCGAGCGTGTGTGTGCCGCCTGCTGATCCCCATCCCCTGTCTTGCGCAGGTCGGCAGCACCACCATCGATGCCGAGGTCTACAGCAGCGCACTAGCGGCGTCTGCAGCCGCCAAGCAGCAGCGCTACACAGCGGCAGCCAGCGCTCCCACGCCATTTGCGGTGCGCGCTGGCGAGGGCGGCATGGCGGGCGTGCCCTCAGGGGAGGCGTACCACTACCACAAGCCCGAGCGCGCCGAGCCTGCCGCCAAGGTGGGCGACGGCGGCTACCACTACCACAAGCCGCAGCAGGTGGAGCCGGCGGGCAAGGTGGGCGCCATCGCCGGCAGCGACCGCCGCCAGAACAGGCCATCTGATCAGGCAGAGGCGTCGGGCAAGGTGGGTTGCTGAGCGCGTAGCTCCATGCTGTGCCGCCCTGCCCACCCCAGCTGCCCTGCTCCGCTTGGTGTTGGTGGTGGAAGGCGCGCCGCATTATGCCTCGGCCGCTGCTGTGCCGTGCTGCGCATGCAGGTCGGCGGGGGCGGCTGGGACAAGCAGGCAGCAGAGGATGCATGCCGGCAGCGCGATGTGGAGAAGGAGAAGGCAAGGAGCCGCAACTGGGGCACCTTCCAGATTGGGTAAAAAGGCGCTGGGGTTGCAGCGCACAAGACGCTGGGCATAGCTTTGGCCACTCCTGCCTGAATTCGGCCAGCCGCCGACCAATTGGACGGCACGTGTTCCCCATCACCGTATTTCCATTTCCATCGACTTCTCATCATGCTGAATACCCGCTTGTATGTGTGACTCTTCCTACGAGAAATGTACGAGGCTGCTACCTCCTTGCGTTTTGCCCTGGCGTCGTGCCATCAGCACTGCTTTACATTAATCTCATGAAATTGAGAGCGAAATTGAGCACCTGTTAAACGCTGCTCTGCCATACAGCTCCCCAACGCATTCAAATCTACTGCTGCTGCTGCTTCGCACGCTTGGCGGCAAGTGCCCGATCCCGCCAGGATAGTGCGTCGTTCCCGCTGGTCCCCCCTGCCTGCTGGATGAGCTGCGATGAGGCACCGGCTGCTGCCAGCTCTTCTGCAGGCACAACCACCGCGCCATCTGCCTCTGCTAATGCCAGCAGATCGGACACACTCGCCCCTGCCCCTCCCGCTGCGCCCTGTGCTTGTGCCGACGCTGATGCTGCGCGGGGTGCCGCCGCCGCCGAGGCGACACCGCCAGCCTGTCCCCGGCCACCCGACGGCAGCTTGCTGCCCGCTGAGCTAGCCCTGAACTTCCGGCCTGCTGGTGCTGCTGCGTGGCCGCCGCCAAAGATGGCTGCCGCGTGCGACTCATCCCGCTCCTGCTGCACGGCAGCGGCATGGCTCCCCTGGAAGGTGACTGCGTTCAAGCCGTCCAGCAGGCTAGCATCGTCCTCATCCTCCTTGCCATCCTCGCTGCCCTCCCCAAGCCCTGGCATGCCTGCGCAGGACAGCATGCACCACTGAGCTTCGCCGCTGCGGGATACACCCTGCCCAGGAGGCACTCCTGCCTGCCCAGCAATGCTGTGTCCAGCGGCACGAGCACAAAGGCAGCACGCGGAGCAGCAGAGCGACAGAAACAACACGGGCGGCCCTGCGCACCAGGGCCAACTGCCGGCGGTGCTGCCCGGTCCTCTTCCAGCTCAGCGCCGGCGTCAAAACGGAAGCGTGTCCACTGCGGTTGGCTGCCGCCACCGCTGCCGTTGTCCTCCTGCCGGCTGCGCTCTGCAGCAGCAGCGGCAGCAGCACGCTGGGTGCCCATTCACCTGCCGGGTCCACAGTGGCATGCGCCGGAGCAGCAGGTGTGGGCAGAGCCAGCAGGCAGCGGGCTCACCTCGTCGCTCGTCCTGGGCAGCGCTGCGCTCAAGCAGGTATTGCGTCTTGGCCCGCATTTTCTGCGACACAAGGCCGAAGAAGTGAAGCAGGTGCGTCGGGATGGGGCATGGGCGCCCTGTGGCCGCACGGCTTACAGCATGCAGCAGGTTGCGGCCCAGTGCCACAGCTCTGCTAACCTGCACGACGCTCATGCCCTGGTAGCCGGGGATCAGCGCTTCGAAATCGTACTGCTGAAGCACTGGGGCTGCGCCGCCGCCGCCGCCCCGCTGCCGCTCATCCCCGCCCTGCCGCCGGTCCTGGCTCCTGCTGCGCTCCCGCCGCCCTCTGCTGCGGCTGCGCCTCCCGCCAACGTGCCGCCGCCGGTCGCGGCTGCGCCGGCGGCTGTCGTAGCCACGGTAGCGGTCGCCCCTCTCGTCCCTGCTGCGGCTGCGCCGCCGCCGGTGGTCTCCCCGCCGGTCCCGGCTCCTGCTACGGCTGCGGCGGCGCTGCGGTTCTCTGCTACGGCTGCGGCGGCGCTGCGGTTCCCTGCTCGCGCTGCCTGGCCGCCTCTGCTCCTGCTCCCGGCTCCTGCTCCTGCTGCGCCGCCGCTCGCGCTGCTGCTCCTTCAGCTGCCTCAGCTGCTGCTGCTCCCTCCGCTCATCATACAGGCGGTCGGGCAGCCTCTCCGCCGCCCTGGGCCGCTGCTCCTTCTTCAGCTGTGCCAGGCGGCGCTGCACCGCCTCCGCCGTATCGCTGTCATACCCCTCCTCCTGCTCCTCCCGCTCAGCCTGCCAGGGGTGCAGAGATGGGATGCGGGTGGCGGGGCGGAGGCCGGCCGGGGAAGGACACGTGACAGCAAGGAGGTGCGCACCAGTTGGCGCCTCCTCCAGGCAATCGGCCCGGCCCATTCACCTGCTCTTGGAAGCTGCCTGGGTACAGGGCGGCCCGGATGCGGCGGTTGCGGGCAATCACATCGTCGTCCTGCTCCTCATTGTAGCCGCCTGGCAGGCGGGCCGGGACGCCGCGCCCTGCAAAGCCGATGCCCTGATGGCATGGAAAACAGGGGAGGCAGGTTGTGGGCGGCGGCGAGCGTGCGGCGACGGCGGCAGCGGCAGGTGGTGCGGCGACTATCCCACCTGCTTGAACCGAGCGCCCGCATCGACAGCAGCGAAGGCCTGGTGCAGCGCGTGAGCTCGGTCTTCTTGCATAGGAGGGCCAGAACGAGGATGAACATGTTCTCAGTATTCTGCCTACACCATCGGCAGCGTTTGATTTGACTTCTACTGCACGATGATGGTGCGGCCGCGTGCAAAGCGCATGGAGCAGTTCCGTCTGCTTTGCCCGCCACCTCAGCCCGCCACCTCAGCGGCGCCGCCAAAAGGGTGCTGGTGCCATGAGCAGCACTGATCCATCCATTGTGTGGCCTCCTATAGACAGTCAAGTTCTTTACAAACCGGCTCATGCAGGGCAAAATCAAGGCAACAGAATGGTGCAACCCAATACGAGGGCTGAGCTTCAGCCGTCAAGCAGGACGACTCTCAGGACGGGTGCATGCAGGTGTTGCTACGCAGTTGTGGCAACTTAGGTGCTTCTGCAGCTATCAGGCGGCACCAGCCAGGCGCAGCGCCGTCGTCATCATCCCAGCTGCTGCGCGGAAGTTGCGTTGGGCCAGCATCAGCAGCAGTGCGGCCTCCTGCAACCCAAGGCAAGACACCGGTGGCTTGAGATTCAAGGCACATGAGCGGCCCGCCAGCACAGGGTCACAAACTTTCTCCACAGCCAAACATCAGAGGCATCAGCCCACCCACGTTGGCCGCCTGCTGGTGTGGGGGAAGGGTCAGCATCAGCGCCCAGAAGCCGCCCACCAGCTTGCCGCCCAGGCCCGAGGCAGCGGCTGCCGGCTGCTGGGAGGCCTCCATAAGCAGGTCCAGCAGGTGCAGGTGGCCCTGCTGCGCCTGCTGGGCCTGCTGGGCCTGCTGGGCTGCCTGCCTGGGCCCGGACTGCTGGGCCACGATGGCACCAGTGGCGGCTGCAGCCGTGGAGTGCCCTGGTGGGCTGGCAGCAGCCGTGCTGCAGCCTCCACCGGCGCTGCCGCCATGCGCCCACGCCGCAGCAACATTTCCCAGTCCGACATTGCAGGCAGCTGGTGCGTGAGCCTGCTGCTGGGTGAGGCGCTTGCTCGGGGGCTCCAGGGCTGTATCGCCCGGCGGCTGTTTGCTCTTTGCGGGCCGCCCCCGCTGGCGGCCGCTGGTGAGCTGAGCGGGAACCTTGGCGGCAGCCCCTCCTGTCACAGCCTGCCGCGGCTTGACTTGGCGCAGCGATGGCGTGGCTGCCGCTGGCGCTGGCGCCGCAGCCGCTGCGCCGGCTTCCTGACGGCGTCGCCTGCGCGTGCCTGCCGCTGGGCCCGTCGCTGGCAGCAGTGTGCCCGCCTCCACCTCCTCCTCTGCCAGCTGCCGCTGGATGCGGTGGAAGCAGGGCTGGCAAAGCCAGCAGGTTAAGGTTGGGTGGAGGTGCCAGCTGGTGCCGGGGCTGGGCCCAGGGCTGCTGCTGCTGCACTGCATGCACTGACGCCGGGCCTGTGGCTGTTCAGCAGGCTGCAGCTCCTCCTCCTCTGCATGCTCCTCATCCTTCTCTGGCAATGCTGACAGCCCTGGCAGCCCACCGCCGTGCGTGTCGGCATAGGCACCACATCGCCCACACAGCTGAGCGCGGCTGGCCGGGTGCCACCGCCAAACGTACTTGGTGCCGGCGGGCCCGGGCCGCAGCGAGCCGCAGTGGGTGCACTGCTTCACAGCGGCAGCAATAGCTGGCTCCTCCACCCCCTCTATCTCCTCCTGGTGCTTTGCCGAGGGCAGCTCCGGCAGCCTGCCGCCGTGCTTGTCGGCATAGCGGCGGCAGGGCCCGCACAGCTGCTCCTTGCTGATGGGGTGCCGCCGCCAGTAGTACTTGGTGCCGGTGGGCCCAGGCCGCAGCGAGCCGCAGTGGGTGCACTGCCTTGCAGCCCCGAGTGCAGCTGCTGGCTGCCCCCCGTGCTGCCCACCCGCGTGGCCGGCTGCTGCCACGGGTGGCCCCCGCTCCTGCTGCCCTGAAGGCTGCTCGCCCCAGCTGCCGTCTTCGCCAGTCCCTGCACATGCATGCCATGCACCCACGGGTGTGGCCACAGTTGTACCTACAGGTGAGGCGGCGTCCGCAGGGATCCTCACAACACCTGCAGCACAATGCTTGCTGCCTGCCAGTAGGCAGGCAGCAGCAAAGGCTGCACCCGCTCCCCCTCACCATCAGGCGCGACGCTGGCCAGCAGCGCCAGGGCTCCGGAGTTCCGTGAGCGGCGGGCGGCAGCGCGCAGGCGGTACTGCTGCAGTACATCCTCCACCTGCCACTCCTGGCTGGGCGGCTGCCCTGCTGGTGCCGTCGGTGACGACATATGCGCATCAACAGGCAGCTCTGGGGCAGGCTCCAGCTGCTGCCCCTTCAGGGCGTCGTCGGTCCGCAGGGGTGGTGCCTGGCAAGCTGCTGGTGGCAGGTCAGCTTGGGGATCGGTGGCTTGCTGTGGCAGGCCTAGGCTGCCGCCGTGGGCTGCATCCTCAGCCTGCCCAGGCTGCTCACCCGGCGCCTCCTGCCCTGAGGGTGCTTCAGGAGCGGCAGCAGCGGCGGCTTCCTCATCCTGCCCGCCCAGGAAGACGCCAGGCCACACCTCGTACTGCAGGAGTGGGTCGCTGGTGCTGCGATGGGCTGGAGGCTGCTGCTCCTGGAGAAGGCTGGCCAGCAGCTCATGCAGGGGATGATGCAGAGGCGTGCTGTCTGGTCCCTGGTGTGCCGTGCCAGCTGCGCCTGCCGCCACCTGCCCGCGCTGCTCCTGCTGGGAGATGCCAGCTTGGTGGGAGGCCTCGACTCCTGCACGCATGGGCAGATTAACGCAGCGCACATGATTCGCCGGCAACAAAGGCGGGGCACGCCCGCTTGCCCCTGCTATGCTGCCAGCCTACCTGGGTGCTGCTGGCAGCTGTCTGCCGCCTTGCGGGCCTCCACAACGCTTTCCGGGGCAGCCACCGCAGCCGCCGCCACCTCCTCGATGTGTCCTGGCACGTCTGCTGCCACAGCTGCCACCATCTCAGCGGCTACCGCAGCCGGATCTGCAGTGCATGCATCACGGTTGCAGTCTGAAACAACAGTCAGATTGGACCAGGACACACGGACCGGCCACAGCCGGCGGCGGCCGCGCACCTGCCGCCAGCCGGCCGCCGTTCGCTGTCGCACCTCCTGCAGCCGCCCCTGGGCCCTCGCCTCCCTGCTCCAGCAGGGCCACCATCTCTGCGGCCCCTGGCGATGAGAGGTGACGCTGAGCGCTCGTTGGTCTTTCCAAGGCTCGCCCCCACGGGTTCACTCGACCTCTCAGGGCAGGGCAGGTGATATGCAGAGGGCTCTAGGTTCGGACAAACGCTAGCAAACAAGATAGAAACGCCGTTGGAAAGGTAGAAAGCAGCACAATGAAGCCTGCCTGGTGAGATAATGAGAATGTGAGTCTATACAGACACGCACACATGGAGGCATTTAGAAGATGCTGGTGACTTCGCCCGCTAGCACGAGCTGCCCTGCCCCGCCGGAGCCAGCCGCAGGGTCGATTCCATCATGGCGGCGACTGCAGCATACTCGCCACTCTCTAGCAGCAGCTGAAGTTCATACCTCTGCAGGCACGAGGGGAATGCGGCACAGGGCATAAGCGGGCTGGGGTAGCAACCGCCGGACGGCGTCTGCGTGCATGTAAGCTGCAGCGGCGTCTGGAGGCGGTCGGGCACTCCCAACCCACCTTGCGATCAGACGGCTGTGAGGACTGCGTGGTGTCCACCACCGCCCAGAAGCTTGCCAGCAGCTTTGGTGTGAGGCCCGCAGCGGCAACAGCCGGCTGCCTGGCAGCTCCGAGCAGGCGGGCAAAGAGGTCCTGAGGCGCCTGCTGTGGCTCCACCTCCTGCGGCTGCGCCTGCACCTGCTGCGGTTGAGGCTGCGACGGCACTGGCAGGTGCAACGGCTGTGCTGGTTGCAGCCGCAGGCCTGGCAGGAAGCCCTGGCTGCCAGCGACGCGGCGCTGCTTGTGTCGCCTAGCAGGTGACATAGGCGGCTCCTCATCCACTGCGGGCGCCTGCTGGCATTGCTGCTTCCGTTTGCCCTGCTGCTTGTTCTGCGGCTGATGGGCCTCAGCTGCTGCCCGCTCATCAGGGCCCCTGGCCATCCGCTGCAGTGCTGTGTCAGACAGCGCTGGCAGCTCACCGCCGTGCTTGTCGGCATAGTTGCCGCAGGGCCCGCACAGCTGCTTGCGGGTGGTGGAATGCCGCCGCCACTGGTACTTGGTGCCGGCGGGCCCAGGCTGCATCGAGCCGCAGTGGGTGCACTGCCTGGCAGTGGGTGGGGCAGCCGCCTGTTCAGGTGCTGTAGCTGGCTCCTCTTCATCCTCGCTCTCCTCCTGCTCCCCCTCCACATCTGACAGCGCTGGCAGCTTGCCGCCGTGCTTTTCGGCATAGTTGCCGCAGGGCCCGCACAGCTGCTTGCGGGTGGTGGAATGCCGCCGCCACTGGTACTTGGTGCCGGCGGGCCCAGGCTGCATCGAGCCGCCTGGGTGCACTGCCTGGCAGTGGGTGGGGCAGCCGCCTGTTCAGGTGCTGTAGCTGGCTCCTCTTCATCCTCGCTCTCCTCCTGCTCCCCCTCCACATCTGACAGCGCTGGCAGCTCGCCGCCGTGCTTTTCGGCATAGTTGCCGCAGGGCCCGCACAGCTGCTTGCGGGTGGTGGAATGCCGCCGCCACTGGTACTTGGTGCCGGCGGGCCCAGGCTGCATCGAGCCGCAGTGGGTGCACTGCTTCACAGCGGCTGCGATTGCTGCATCCTCCTCCTCCTTGCTCTCCTCCTCCTCCTCTCGCTGCACCTCGCTCTTCTCCCCCTGCCGAGGCTGCATCTCCGCCTGCCGCTTCTGGCGCTTTATGGCTTTGTGCACCTTTCCGTAGCAAGGATGGCACAGCCACTCCTCCCCGGTGGCGGGATGGCGGTGCCAAAAGCCAGACACGCCGCCTTTGCTGGTGCTGCCGCACTGCAGGCACTGCCGCTGCGGGGGCTGCTGCTGCGGATCCTCCTCTTCCTCTGGCTCAACTTCGCTCTCCACCTCCTGCCGTGGGTGCTTCTCCGCCTGCCGCTGCTGCCGCTGGAAGGCTGCCCGCGCTTTGTTGAAGCAGGGATGGCACAGCCACTCCTCCCCGGTGGCGGGGTGGCGGTGCCAGGCTGCCGACTTGGTGCTGCCTTTGCTGGTGCTGCCGCACCACAGGCACTGACGCTGCGCCTGGAGCTGTGGTTGCTGCTCCTCCTCACTCTCCTCCTGCTCCGCCTCTACATCCGACAGCTCTGGCAGCTTGCCACCATGCCTGTCAGCATAAAGGCCGCAGGGCCCACACAGCTGCTCGCGGGTGGTAGGATGCCGCTGCCAGCCATACCGACTGCCAGCAGGGCCAGGCTGCAGGGAGCTGCAGTGGGTGCACTGCTTGACAGCGACAGTTGTTCGCTCTCCCTTCTGCTCCTGTTGCTCCGGTCTCTGCTGCACAGGCTCCGGTCTCCGCTGCACAGCTGGCTGCTGCTCAATCAAGTGCTGTTCACTCTGCTCTGTCCTGCTGTTGCCGCCCGCCTCCCCTGCAGCAAGAAAGCGGGAGCCCTTCAACCCAAAGTCAATTGAGAGCCCTTCCATATTTGTGGTTCGCCACAGCAGGTGGGGCCCTGCCACACATACTTAGCTGCTATTAGCCACCGCAATGCTGCCATGCGCGTCCACTCACCCTCGGAAGCAGGCTGCGGAAGCGCCCTGTAGCCTTCCTGCCCTGGCTGCTCATCTTCATCATCGATGGGGGCAGGGGAGAGCCATGTGTCGGGCATCACAGCACCAGTCCTGGCTGGGGAGGGCATACCCGAGGCTCCTTCGTGGCTCCCTGGCCCCTCTGGCGGGCAAGCCATTGCGGCGACTCGCAGGCCGCCAGTGGGCACGCCATGCGGCGACGCGGCGCTGCGAGCCTGCAGCCGCGGGTCCCGGCTGCTGCGCCAGGGCAGGGCGGACTTCAGGGGCAGCCGGGGACTGGCGCCACATGGTGCGATGACCAGCTGCTGCTGCTGCTGCTGCTGCTGCTGCTGCTGCTGCTGCTGCTGCTGCTGCTGCTGCTGCTACTGTGGTGCCCTCACGATACTCTCCAGGCGATGCCTCCCTGCCACAGCGTCCACGGAGCTGATGCCTGCATTGGTAATGAAGGGTTGGTAGCAGGTCAGCCTGGGATCAGTGGCTTGCTGGGGCAGGTACAGGCTGCCGACACAAAGGCTGCGTGCTCAGCCTGCCCATGCTGCTCACCCGGCGCCTCCTGCCCTGACCCTCCATGAGTGGCACCGACTTCCTCCTCCTGCCTGCTGCTCTCCTCTGGGAGGCTGGCGGCGGGCACGCCGTCATCCACGATGCCTGCGCCTGCCATTCCTTGCGCTGCCACCCCACCGCCGCCTCCCACCATGAGGGCAGTCCGCAGGGGTCCCATGACGAGCGCGTCAAAGGCCTGCTGCTGCACCACTTCCGGGTCGTACACACCCGGCAACAGCTGCTGCGGTGGGTCGCCAATGCCACGCTGGGATGGCTGCTGTTGCTCCTCGAGAAGGCTGGCAGGAGGGCTGGTGTCAGGGCGCTGGGGCACGCCGCCAGCTGCGCCTGCCAGCACCAACACGTGCTGCTCCTGCTGGGAGACGGCAGCTGGGTGGGAGCCCTTGGCATCTGCAGGCATGGACAGACTGGCCAGCTCACCCAGCTGCTTGTGCACAGCACTGCCTGCCAGCACCACTCCGTAGGTGTATCTGCTTGTCCGTGCCGTGCCTTCAAGCCTACCTAGCTGCGGGAAGCGGTCTGCCGCCTCGCTGGCCTCCACAGTGCCCTGAAGCGCAGCCGCCGCAGCCGCCAACTGTTCCATGTCGTCTGGCACAGAGACAGGTGGATCTGCAAATGCCAGCATGGCATCCAAGTTTGCGGTGCTGCCTTGGAACAAAGTCTGGCTGCTCAACGACGCATTGCCGATCTGCAGCGGTGGCGCTTGGCCGGCGGTCGGGCCGCCATCACTGGCCCACCTCCTGCAGCCGCCCCTGGGCCCTCGCCTCCCTGCTCCAGCAGGGGCACCATCTCCGCCGGCCCCTGGCGAGCAGAGGAGGCTGCTGGGCACTCCATGGGACGGTCCAAGACTCGCACCCCTGGTTGCATGCTGTTGGGTTCGCTGCCTGTCGGCCTTTCAAAGCATCTGTGGCCCCTGGGAGGTTCAGGATTTGGACAGAAAGCGAGCAAACAGAGGTAGAAAGCAAACCCAGTGGAAAGCATCAGCAATTCAGAGAAACGGCAGTGTCACTAAGAGCAAACGCATGCAGGTGACCGCGCCCTCCTCCTCAGCTGCATGCTGCGCCCAAAGCCAGCTGCACCGTCGTCTCCATCATGCGGACCAGCGCCGCATACTCGCCCCGCTCCAGCAGCAGGTGGAGGTTGCCCTCCTGCAGGGATACATGCACACAACAAGTGGGCAGGCGGGTCCTGAACATCATGGCTGGTGGGCCATGCATGCCGCCACCTTCTGGATCTCGTGGTGGGGCGCCACCGCCCACCTTGCGGGCCTGCTGCGAGGGTGTCAGCTCGCCCACTACCGCCCAGAAGCTACCCAGCAGCTCAGGCGTGAGCCCCGAAACGGCGCCAGCCGGCTGCCTTGCTGCCGCGAGAAGGCGCGTGCACAGGTCCTGAGGGTGCTGCGCCTGTGGGACAGGCTCGGTCTGCTGCTGCGGCGGCTCTGCCTGGGGCCCGGGCGGCTGTAGGGCCTGAGCTGGCCGCAGTGGCAGCTCCGGCAGGAAGCCGTAGTTCTTGCGCTGGTACAACCAGAACTCCTTGCACAGCCGAGCGCCAGTGGTCGCGTGCTTGCGCCAGGGGTAGGTGGGCGTGGGACCAGGCCGGTCAGCGCCGCAGTGGCTGCACTGCAGCTGCTCCTCCTCCACCTCCTCCTCCTCACCCTGCTGCTCCTGCTCCTCCTGCTCAGGCTGAGGCGGCTGCTCCGCCTGCCGCTGCTGTCGCATGACAGCTGTGCGCGCCTTGCTAAAGCAGGCTTCGCACAGCCACTCCTGCCCGGTGGCGGGGTGGCGGTGCCACTTTGCCCACTTGGCGCTGCCTTTGGTGGTGCTGGCACACTGCAGGCACTGGCGCCGCGGGGGCTGCTGTGGGTGGTGCTCCTCCTCCTCCCCCTGCTGGTCCTGGTCCTCCTTCTCCTGCCGAGGCTGCTTCTCCACATGTCTCTGCGGTGGCAGCTCGCCGCCGCGCGTGTCGGCAAAGAGGGTGCACTGCTTTGCGGCCGGTGCTGCTCGCTCTCCATGCCGCTGCCCCTGCTGCTGCTGTACGGCTGGCTGCTGCAGGCTCGGCTCTGCCCTAGTGTCAATCCCAACCTCGCCTGCAGCAAGAAACAAGGAGCCCCCTGAAGCACCCCCGTGATGAGAGCACCCTTCACCGCTGTTGAGCGCCAGCAGCTGCAGTCAATGGGCGCATCCCGCTGCCACACTCACCCCGCCGCTTGGCTCCAAGGTACTTGTACAGTGAAAAGAGGTGCTCGGGGCGGGGCGTGTAAGCAGGGGCTCCCTCGGCTGGGACCTGCGAGGCCTGCAGCTCCTAGGGCGGCACTGCATGCTGCTCCTGCTGCGCCTGCTGCACCTCAGCTCGCGGCGGCTGGGCCTGCGCTGGCGCCGCAACAGCGCAATCCGCTGTCCCCCCAGCGTGCTGCCCCTCCTCGTGTACTTCTCGCTTCACAGCCGCACAGCCTTGCTGCTCAAACTCCAGAACAGCCGCTGATCCTGCCACCGCTGCCGTGTGCTGCTCCATGGCCAGCGGAGGCGTGGGAGCCGTCGGCGCCAGCGCCCTGCACCCATCCTGCCCTGCTGGCGGCTGGGCCTCGCCGCTAGCCGTGGGTGAGGTCAGCGGTGTGTCGGGCGTCACGATGCTGGTCCTAGCTGGGCAGGGCACACCTGGGGCTGCCTCGTGGCTGGATGCCGCCGCTGGCGGGCAAGCCAGTGCTGTGCGCAAGCCAGCCAGTGGCTGCACGCCATGTGGCAACGCGTCGCTGCGGGATTGCAGCTGCGGGTCCCGGCTGCTGCGCCAGGGCAGGGCAGGCTGTGAAAGCGCCTGGGGACCGGCGGCAGATGGCTTGCTCACCAACTGCTGCTGCGGCTGCTGCTGTGGTTCTGCAACTATACTGTCCAGCCGCTGCCTCTTTGTCTCCGCCTGTGTCTGTCTCTCCTCGGAGCTGCCGCCTGCATTGGCAACGAGAGCAGGAGGGCTTGGTTGGCCTGCCGCGGCCCGCATTATGGCAGTGTGTCGGCATGCTGCGCCTTGTGAAGTAGCCACGCTGAGCCATGGGAACCATCCAAAAGGGGCCCACCCGGCCGAGCAGCAGGTGCCTCGGTCCCTCGCGCAGCCCATTACTCACCGCGTACTGGTTCGGCAGGGAGGCCCCGGCAGTTCCTTTGTCCAGAGGCCCCCCCAGGTGGGAAAAGGGGGCTGGAATTGGGTGCTGCTACCAGGGTGCTGTGCTCTGGGCCGACGTGAGCTGCTTGTGCAGCGCCGGCACCGGCCGCCGGGGCGGTAGTGGCGCTGGGGGGTGCCGCGGCAGGGGCGGATTGCGCATCAATAGCATTTTTGTGCCGCGCCAGTTTACCGGCCATGAAGCGGAGCTCCTCAGCCTCGTACAGTGTGCGGGGATGCAGCACCCTGCCACAGAGTTTTCAAGTCTGTGCCCAAGGCCGGCTGCAAACTGGGTGAGCAGCTGGTTGATAGGAGGCAAGGCGAGAATGGCGAATGGCCGGAGACCGAAGACCCACGATTGATGAACATACTTTGAACAACAGTACAGACGCCCTGTCCTGCTCCACGTGGCCGAGCGGCCGCTGCTCCAAAATTTGGACCAAATGCTGCCAACATATGTACATTTGACTGGCAACTTACGTGTTGGTAGAGTTGTCGCCAAGCAACAGGAAGCATGAAGATTTCGGCAAACATGAAGCATGAGAATTAAAGTCACTACGTCCATGAGCCAGCGCCGCTGGTGACGCCTGTCTTCCTTCATTCAGCTGCCTTGCCCTGCCAGAGCCAGCCGCAGGGTCGATTCCATCATGGCGGCGACTGCAGCATACTCGGCACTCTCTAGCAACAGCTGAAGTTCATACCTCTGCAGTGGCAACTGCAGGCACAAGGGGAATGCGGCACAGGGCATGAGCGGGCTGGGGGAGCAACGGTCTGCATGTGCTTACGCAATTACGCTTATGCTACAGCGGCGCCTGGAGGCGGTCGGGCACTGCCAACCCACCTTGCGATCAGACGGCTGTGAGGACCGCGTCGTGTCCACCACCGCCCAGAAGCTTGCCAGCAGCTTGGGTGTGAGGCCCGCAGCGGCAACAGCCGGCTGCCTGGCAGCTCTGAGCAGGTGGGCAAAGAGGCCCTCAGGAGTCTGCTGTGGCTCCACCTGATGCGGCTGCGCCTGCACCTGCTGCGGTTGAGGCTGCGACGGCACTGGCAGGTTTGATGGCTGGGCTGGTTGCAGCGGCAGGCCTGGCAGGAAGCCCTGGTTGTTACCGACGCGGCGCTGCTTGGGTCGCCTAGCAGGTGACACAGGCGGCTCCTCATCCACTGCGGGGGCCTGCTGGCGTTGCTTCTTTCGCTTGCCCAGCTGCTTGTTCTGTGACTGCTGGGCCTCAGCTGCTGCCCGCTCCTCAGCCCCCCTGGCCATCCGCTGCAATGCTGTGTCGGACAGCGCTGGCAGCTCGCCGCCATGCTTGTCAACATAGCCGCCGCAGGGCCCGCACAGCTGCTTGCGGGTGGTGGGGTGCCGCCGCCAGGTGTACGATGTGCAGGGCCGCCCAGGCTGCAGTGCGCCGCAGTGGGTGCACTGCCTGGCGGTGGGTGGGGCAGCTGCTGCCTGTTCAGGTGCAGCAGCTGGCTCCTCTTCATCCTCGCTCTCCTCCTGCCCCCCCTCCAGCTCCTCATCCGGCAGCGCTGGCAGATTGCCGCCATGCCGGCGGGTGTAGCCCCAGCAGGGCCAGGCCGCAGCGAGCCGCAGTGGGTGCACTGCTTCACAGCGGCTGCGATTGCTGCCTCCTCCTCACTGTGGTCCTCTTCTGGCCCCACCTCGCGCTCCACCTCCTGCCGACGCTGCTTCTCCGCCTGCCGCCGCTGCCGCCTCAAGGGTGCCTGCACATCGTTGAAACAGGGCTGGCACAGCCACTCCTCCCCAGTGATGGGGTGGCGGCGCCACGTTGCCCACTTGGCGCTACCTTTGGTGGTGCTGCCACACTGGAAGCACTGCCGCTGCAGGGGCTGCTGCTGCGGATGCTCCTCCTCCTTTGGCTCCACCTCGCTCTCCACCTCCTGCCATGGGTGCATCTCCGCCTGCCACTTCTGCCGCCGGAAGGCTGCCTGCACATCGTTGAAACAGGGCTGGCACAGCCACCCCTCCCCGGTGGTGGGGTGGCGGCGCCACCTTGCCCACTTGGCGCTGCCTTTGGCGGTGCTGCCACACTGCAAGCACTGCCGCTGCAGGGGCTGCTGCTGTGGCTGCTCCTCCCCCTCTAGCTCCACCTCGCTCTTCTCCTCCTGCTGAGCCTGCGTCTCCGCCTGCCGATGCTGCCGCTTGAGTGCTGAGTCCACCTTCTGGTAGCAGGGCTGGCACAGCCACTCCTCCCCGGTGGCGGGGTGGCGGTGCCACTGTGCCGACTTGGTGCCTTTGCTGGTGCTGCCGCACTGCAGGCACTGGCGCTGCAGGGGCTGCTGCTGCGGCTGCTCCTCCTCACTCTCCTCCTGCTCCGCCTCCGCATCTGACAGCGCTGGCAGCTCGCCACCATACCGGGATGCGCGGCCGTAGCACTGGCCACACAGCTGCTCCTTGCTAGTGGGGTGCTGCCGCCAGTATGTGCCGCCAGGGGGACCAGGCTGCAGGGAGCCGCAGTGGGTGCACTGCTCGGCAGCGACAGTTGTTCGCTCTCCCTTCTGCTGCTGTTGCTCCGGTCTCTGCACCGCACCTGCCTGCTGCTCACTCGAGTGCTGTCCACTCTGCTTTGTCCTGCTGGTGCCGCCTGCCTCCCCTGCAAGAAAGAGTAAGCCCCTCAAACCAAAGTCAAATGAAAGCCCTTCCATACTTGTGGCTGGCCACAGCAGGTGGAGGCATGCCACACACACGCTACTATTAGCCACCGCAATGCTGCCATGCGTGTGCACTCACCCGTGGAAGCAGGCTGCGGAGGCGCTCTGTAGCCTTCCTGCCCTGGCTGCTCATCCTCATCGATGGGAGCAGGTGAGAGCAGTGGTGTGTCGGGCATCACAGCACCAGTCCTGGCTGGGGAGGGCATACCCGAGGCTCCCTCGCGGCTCCCTGCCGCCGCTGGCGGGCAAGCCATTGCGGCGAGTCGCACCTCGCCAGTGGGCACGCCACGTGGCGACGCGCCGCTGCGAGCCTGCAGCCGCGGGTCCCGGCTGCTGCGCCAGGGCAGGGCGGACTGCAGGGGCAGCCGGGGACTGGCGCCACATGGTGCGATGACCAGCTGCTGCTGCTGCTGCTGCTGCTGCTGCTGCTGCTGCTGCTGCTGCTGCTGCTGCTGTGGTGCCCTCACGATACTCTCCAGGCAATGCCTCCCTGCCACAGCGTCCACGGAGCTGCTGCCTGCATTGACAAGGAAGGGTTGGTAGCAGGTCAGCCTGGGATCAGCGGCTTGCTGGGGCAGGTACAGGCTGCCGACACAAAGGCTGCGTGCTCAGCCTGCCCATGCTGCTCACCCGGCGCCTCCTGCCCTGACCCTCCATGAGTGGCACCGACTTCCTCCTCCTGCCTGCCGCTCTCCTCTGGGAGGCTGGCGGCGGGCACGCCGTCATCCACGACGCCTGCGCCTGCCATTCCTCGCGCTGCCACCCCACCGCCGCCTCCCACCATGAGGGCAGTCCGCAGGGGCCCGATGACGAGCGCGTCAAAGGCCTGCTGCTGCGCCACTTCCGGGTCGTACACACCCGGCACCAGCTGCTGCGGTGGGTCGCCAATGCCACGCTGGGATGGCGGCTGCTGCTCCTCGAGAAGGCTGGCAGGAGGGCTGGTGTCAGGGCGCTGGGGCACGCCGCCAGCTGCGCCTGCCAGCACCAACACGTGCTGCTCCTGCTGGGAGACGGCAGCTGGGTGGGAGCCCTTGGCATCTGCAGGCATGTGTTGCCCGCTGATGTGGCGGGCAACACATGTTGCCCGCTGATGTGGCACCCCCCCCCGATTCGTCTGGCTCATCAGGCACGCTCTCTCCCGCGATCCCTCCCTTTCCTTCGCCTTTCAGAGTCTCTAAGGCTTCTATTTCTCCCCTCCCGCACCCCGCAGCTGCCGCAAATTTAAAATTATGAACCAACCTGTCATCCTTTATGCCTTAGAACGGCGCCAAAACGGCGCCAAGAATGTGTTTCTCACTAAGTCAGATGTAGAGGGCATCATCCGGATCAAGCAGGGCGACCAGCAGGCGCCCTCAGGCCGGCGGCGGCGGGGTGTGGGAGGGGGTGCGGCAGTGCAGGGCGGCGCCAAGAACTACAGCAAGAAGGTGCTGCAGTTCTTCCAGGTGCTGAAGGGCGCTGGCGGTCAGGACATCCTGTGCCGCTGCGTCAAGCGCAGCGGAGAGTGGCGGTGGTGCCCCGTGGTGCCGCTCGAGGAGCTGCCCCGAGTGATCAAGGAGCACCACGAGCGGGCGACTGGCTCAGCGGTGTGGAGAAGCTGTACACACATGTGAGTGATACTAAGGGGTGCAATGCTG